TGGTTCACACAGCTAGTGAGTGTCTGAGGCAAGATTTGAATTCATCTTCGTTAAAAGAAGTGACCACTTCCCTAGCCTCAGTGTCCCCATATGTAAAAATGAAATGGTTAGAACTGGATGGTTTTGCAGTCCCTTTCAGTTCTTGTATTCTATGATCCCATCAGGATAACAGCCAGGACAAAAAGATGACCTATTAGGCATATGAAGGACCCTGAGCTACTTGGAGACCTTGGGTGCTAAGACTAATTGATCTTAGACTGGACTCTGGATTAAATAATATTTAATTTAATATATATATATATATATACACATATATATATATATATATATGTATATATATGTATATATACATAATATTTAAGGCCATTTCCAGGTCTGACATTCTATAATGCAACAAGAAGTCTACTGGGTCATACATGGATTACAATTAGAGGACCCTGGTGTGAAGAAACTCAGACCCTTGGGTTCTAGAGCTAAGTGACCTTGAAGGGGAAAAACATCCTAGTATCTTTGGGACTTAAAATTCCTGGGCCTTCTGTGAGTGTAAAGCTGGTACCAATCTGTTTGTATCATATAGCACTGGTCTTTAGAATCAAAGGACCTAGGGTTGAATCCAGGCCCTCCAATTTACTACCTGGCTCTGTTTCCTTATCTATAAAATAAGGAAGGGGTGAGTTTAGACTAGTGACCTCTAAGGTCCCTCACAGCTCTAAGCTCTAAATGTTCAATCCTGTGATCCTTTCCCCAACCCTGGGCCCTGGGGCAGGTCAGGGTTGGGGAGACTGTGGGACTCTCTCTAAGACTGCTGGCTAGTCTGGCCACAAGGTGCTGATATCAGTACTTCAAGGATATATTATCTCATCTGGGGCACACAGGATGCTTCTGAGATATCCCTCTACATCTTAGTAGAGTTGCTATGATTAAAAACCTCATTGCCTTGCAGCCAAACATAGAATAAGCCTTTGCTAACTTGGCCAAGCCAGCCTTTGGACCACAGCCATACAATCCATCCCAAGACTTTCCAGCTTGTTGATTATCCCTTGATCTTTTTACCTGGGGGGCAAGATGGAGTTCAGGATCTCTTCAGCCTGCTTGGTGGGGTCTGGGGTAGCAGAAGTAGAAGGGGTGGCCTTGGTTTTGGGAGGCTGTGGGACTGGCCCTGTAGCCAACGGCTGCTGGGGGCTGACCTTCAGGGGACGGGCCTGGGAAGGAGGTGACAGAAAAGCTCAGACAACTGGCCCTCAGAACTGGCCTTGGGGCAGCCATGGCCCTGGTTCTTTTCCTGTATCCTTTCCTTTCCTTCTTCCCCTTATTTCTCTCTTTCTACCCTCTCATCTTCTTCTGCTATCTCTCTTCTCATGATACCCCTCTTCTCCTCCTTCCCTCTCCCATATATCTACCTTCATCTTTCTCTTTCCTCATCCTACCACCATCTTTTCCCCTTCTATAGCCACTTCTGTGATTTCCTCCTTTTGCCCACTTTTCTCCTACCTTCCACTTACTTCCTCCCCACTTTTCATTCTTCCTCTTTCTTCCTAACTTCCACATTCTCTTCCTCCCTCTTTGCTCCTCCCTCCTATAGTCTCCCCCCTCCCTTTGCTTCTCCCACTGTCTTTTTTCCTCTCATTCTTCTTCCCTACCCTCTCTCTTGCTAGTTACTCTATCCTCCTCCCAACCACATCTTCCTTTCTCCTTCCCATTCCTCTTCATGCTTCTTCTGTCTTTTCCCTCCTCTGTTTTCCACTTCCCACTTCCACCCCACTCCTCACTCCTCCCACTATTTCTTCCATCCTCCCTCTCCCTCTTCCCCCTTATCTTCCTCCCTCATCCTTTCCCTTCCCACTCTCTCTTCCATCTTCCTCTTTCTTTCCCTCTTCCCTTCCACATTCTCTTCCTCTCCTCCCTCCCTCCCTGCAGTTCCCATTTACGGCCGTGGGTACTACCTTGGGGCTCCGCTTCTCGGTGTTCCGGCTCACTAGCACCGGAGTGTCATACTTGAGGAGAGAGTCAACTGGGGGAATCATGGTGGCTGCTGCTGCAGCAGTGGCTCCGCAGCCTTGTTTACTGTCACCATGGAAACCGACGGCCGCCCCCCCCCACTCGTGCCCAGCTGTCTCCAATGGGGGGCGGAGCTAGAGGTGGGGTGGGGCTCATAGTAGGGCGTGGCGATAGGAGAGCTGTGGGATTGGCTAACGTCCTACCAGCCCCGAGTTCTTAGTGCAGGTGTGTTGAAAAGAATCCTGGACTAGGCACCCACCCAGGAGCAACCATATGGAACTTCATTTCTGTTACTTAGTTGTGTGGCCTTGGGCGAGAGACCTTCTGTTTCTGGGGCATATAGGATGCTGCTGAGAAAAGCGCTTTGTAGAACTTAAAGCGCTATAAAAATAAGAACTCTTAATTACCATAGTCTCCTTTATATTATTAGGTAGGTGTTCTTAACCCTGGGTCTGTGAACTTGTTTATTTAACATTTTGATAACTGCACTTTAGTATAACTGTTTTTCTTTATAATCCTGTGTGGTTTTTTGTTTTTGTTTTTTTTGCTGGGCAACTGGGGTTAAGTGACTTGCCCAGGGTCACATAGCTAGTACGTGCTGTGTGTTGTGTGCCTGAGACCAGATTTGAACTCAGGTCCTCCTGACTTCAAGGCTGGAGCTCTATCCACTGCGCCACCTAGCTGCCCCGGATCCTGTGCGTTTTATTTCAGGCAGCTGGTGGTGCAGTGCATAGAGTCCTGGTCCTGGAGTCAGAAAGACCTGAGTTCAAATCCTCATTCAGACGCTTACTAGCTGTGTAACTGTGGACAAGTCATGTGACCTCTGTCCGACTCAGTTTCCTCATCTGTAAAATGGGGATAATAGTCTCCCAGGGTTGTGGTGAGGATCAAATGAGATACTTGTAAAACAAATTTGTGAACCTTAAAGTACCACATAAATGCTAGCTATTACTTATTTATTTTTGGTGAGGCAATTGGGGTTAAGTGACTTGCCCAGAGTCACACAGCTAGTGAGAATTATTATTTTAAAACATAAGATTTATTTAGACTATTAAAAGGGTCCTTCACATATACACAATACACACACACAAAGGTTAAAAACCTCAGTGAGCATCTTCTGTCCTGTTAGAGGACTGGGAATGAGCTGCAGGGGGCAGAAGCCTGGGTTTGAAACATACCTGAGGCATTTGCTGTGTAACCCTGAACAAGTCACACTTCTCATTCATTCACAAATGAGAATTTTTTTTTCTGTTGTTATTTTGGAGTTTTATTTGTTGGACATGAAATTTCATTTATAGGGAATTCCTGGTGGCAAAACTACTTCCAGTGGTTCAGACAGGCAATCCTTCTGTAACTTCTACAGACTTAGAAGGATCTGCCTTGGGCCAATGAGAACCTTAATGACTTGCCCAGCATCCTACAACTGCTCTGTGTCAGATTCCATCTTCCTGACTCCAAGGCTGGCCCTTTATTACACCAGGTTGCTTTTCCAGTTATTATTACCAGAATTCTTGATCTTCCTGCAGCACTAAGCCCAGTCCTCTGCACACAATCAGTGCTTAATAAATGCTCGTGTAATGATGGAATGAGTCTGGTGCCATGCTTCACCCACAGGAGCCTGTGCTATTCATCCATGCCTTCCACTTGTAGCCTGAACCCCTCCTGAAGCCTGTTTCTCTTTTACAACTCACAGAAATGCTGTTATTCCTTGTCATTTGTGGTGCAGCCAAAGTTCCTATGGGAGACATGCTAGGGTAGATGGTGACAAGTGAAGACAAAAATCCCTCCAGGGAGATAAGGAAGCTTTATGCTGGATGCCCTAAGAAGATGGCACAGGTTGTTTCTTGGGTCTACTCTAGACAGAGCAGAGTTTAAACCAAGGATGTTAAGTAAGAAAACATCTGTGGTCCAGTGGAAAGACCAAAGGACTGGAGTTCAGTGGACCAACCAACCTGAGTATGGATTCTGACTCTGCTCCTTATGGTGTGTGGCCTCAGTCACTCAGCCTCCCCGCATATCCTTTCTGTTCTGTAAGATAAAGGGATTGGACTAAATTGTCCCTAAGCCTCCTTCTTCCTTTCTTCTTCCTTCTTTCTAGTCTTCCTTCCTCCCTCTTTCCCTCTCTCCCTCCTTCTTTCCTTTTTTCCCTCCTGTCTCTCTTCTCTCCCTTCCTTTCTTCTTTCCTTCCTAGTATTTATTAAACACCTACTACTGAACCAGGCCCTGTGTTAGCACTGGTTTAAAAAAAAATGCCTCTGCCCTCTAAGAGCTTGCATTCTGTTGGGGAGAAAGTTCTACAAATTATGATCCTACTCACTACCCCATCTCCTCATCCCCTCCTCCACCGGCTCTTCCCTTTTTCTAGCAATAATAAGATAATGACAACGATACAGTCTGGTATAGGGGAGACAGCAAGGGGCTTTGAACAAGAACAGCAGGGTTCGAATCCTAACTCCTCCAACCTTAGCTGCGTGACAGTGAGCAGCTAGGTGGCCCAGAAGGCTGGACCCGGAATCAGGGGAAGACCCGAGTTCAAACCCGACATCAAATCCGACTTCAGACACGACCTCAGACACTTACTGGCTGGTTGAACCTGAGCAGTTCACTTCCCCTTTGCCTGGTTCCGTTTCCTCATCTGGAAAATGGGGGCAGTAACAGCGCCTACTCTGCAGGGCTGTTGTGAGCATCCGATGAGGGTCTTCTGGGAAGGCCGAATGAGTCCCAGCTGTTGCCCGGGGAAAAGGCTGGGTGGGCGTGGTGAGAGACAGTAGGTGGGGGCGGGCCAACGGAACTTTTTTTTTTTAAGGTTCTTGGTTTTCAGGTGCCTGTGTTCACCTGTAAGCCTGTCCCCGAGACTCACCGGGACTTCTCTCACCTCTTCCAAGAGCCGCGCCGCTTCCAGCAGCGCCCATCAGGGGGCGCCAACACGACGTGACCCGAAGTCCTCCCGGGGCCCGACTTCCGTTTGGCCGTCGGAAGAAGAGTGGAAGCTGCCCCGGAAGCGGAAGCGGCGGGGTGAGGGCTCGGGCCGTCGCAGAGGAGCCGACTGGCCCGGGCCGCGAGGATGAAGGAGGCGAAGCCCGAGCGGGAGCGGAGGCAGCGGCGGCGGCGCCGGCGGCGGCGGGAGGACGAGGACGAGCCGGGGGAAGCGGCGGGGAACGACGTGCTGGTGCCGGATCTGTCTCTGGTGAAGCAGGAGCGGCGCAGCCCGACCCCCGCGTCCCGCTCTCACCGGCCGCGGTCGCGGGCCCGGCGCGGCTCCTCGGGAAGTCCGAGCCCGGTGCCGGAGGAAGAGGCCCCGCTGCCGTCTCCTGCCTCGGCCCCGGCCCCGCGAGCCCGCGGCGCTCGTGCCTCGGGCGACCGCGCCGGCAGCTGCAGCAGGTACGAGCCCATTTCCTCCTGCCCTTCAGACTCGGGCGTGCCTCACTGGCCCTCACTCCGTCCTTGCTCCCTCAGCCGGTCCCTGTTGCCCTTCCTCGTGCCTTCTCAACCAGCTCTGGAGTGACGCTGGTGTTCAGGCTTCCGCCTGTGATGGTTGTCCCTCCCCCCCACCTTGGGTGCCCCTGCTGGGTCAGCCTCCTTGGCCCACTCCAGCCTCCCGATCTGATGACCCCGAGCCTTTGTCCAGACGTCCAGCGTTCTGGTTACTCCGGCTCTTCTGCCCGAGATCCATCCTTTTCCCTTTTCCTAGTCCGGCCCCAGTCCTGTCCCTTCTAGGAAGTCTTTTCTTACGCTCTTTCTCAACTGTCCGCAAACTTTTATGGTTCTTTATAGGACCTTTCCTATGCCTTTGGTCTTGTTGCGGTCTAGGGGTGCTGGGAGCCCCCGAAATTTAAGGGCAAAAGGCGCGGGTCCTGCCTCGAAAGAATTCGATTCAAGCCTTCTTTCAGTCAGAGACAAAGTTTATTAAAACACCGGTTGGGCGGGCGAAATTCCTAGTGAGTCTGCACTGTTGGCCAGATTTTTAAGAATCTGGGTAATTTAATGGGGGTGAGATGGACTCATATACAGAAAGGCTGTGGGAAGATCTGGATGTGATCAAGGAGGGCTCAATAACTTGGGGTGACTGGAAGGTACCCCGAGAAGGGGTCTAGATAGGATTAAGGGTAGGAAATAGCCTGCGGTGGTCCTGAGGCCACCGACTATGAAGGGCTGGCTTAGAGGTAACAGAATTGAAGGTCAGAGCCGTAGTGAAACAGTTAAAAGGATTGTGCCCGGTGCCTCAGGCAAACGCCGGAGACTGAGAAAGTTCAGGGGCTTTTCCTTTGTGTGTGGGTGGGGAGCAGATCCCAAAGACGTGGTCTTTTCCTTTTAGGGGTTCAGATCCCATCCCCATCGGTCTTACTTGTAGCTGTTCCTGAGCAGATTTATTCTCCTTAGAGAGGTAGCTGTGGTGTAGTAGAAAGAGCCCTGGCCAATGAGACCTGGCTTGTAATTCTGGCCCTGCCACTTATTAGCCTTCTGATATTGGCTAAGGTGATTTCTTTTTCTGGCTCTCAGTTTTCTTATTTGTAAAATAAAAGTAAGAATGCTTGCATAAATTATGTTTTTGTTGTTCAGTTATGTTGGAGGCTTTGACCCCCATTTGGGGTTTTCTTGCCAAAGATACTGGAGTGGTTTGCCATTTCCTTCTCCAATTCGTTTTACAGATGAGGAAACGGAGGCAAACACGGTTAAGTGATTTGCCCAGGGCCACACAGCTAGTGAGTGTCTGAGGCCAGATTTGAATTTAGGAAGATGAGCCTTCCTGAACCCAGGCCTGATATTCTATCTACTTTGACACCTAGCTGCCATATTCATTATATTAGAGAATTATTTTGTGGGTGAATTGAGATAATGTACCTAAGGGCTTTGTAAGCCTAAAGGGCTATCTGTATGTGAGTGATTACTTTTATCATTATTTACTGCCATTATTTTTTGTCCCAGAATATGGAACTAGGCATTGTTGGATTTAATTAATTTTATAGGGTTATTGTAAGGATAGGAATTTGTAAACTGTACAATGTAACTGTAATCTGTTGTGCTGTTCCTCTGCCCCCAATACTTACAAACAAGATATTACGCCTCTTGAAGGATCTCTATTGCTTTTTAACTTTATAGCCCTTTCACTACTACCCTATACCCTTCCCCCCAATATTTTGTTCATGTGTTTAAGATTCTGTGATTTCTTTAGTATGAGTTACCTCTTCTTTTAATACAAATTGAAACATTCCTCTACAATTTAATAGATGGTTTTTATGAACTGTTGTGGTCAATCACTTGGCCAACCTTCTAGCAATGAGCCTCTTCAAATTTATCTAGACTGGTCTTGAAGCAACAGACACAGCCTTATCACCAGTGCTGAACTTGAAGCCGTGCCAAATTACTTCAGGCATAGTCTTGGGTCACTCAAGATCACATTCATCTCTGGAGGAAGCATTGGAGATTTCAGTAAAGCAGAGTAATGGGGCTGAGGGGATGGGGTAAGGTAAAGGTTACCAGTAAAATCTTCCCTGGAAGTTAAAGCTGGAAGGATTCATTTCAGTTAAGTAAAGATGAGGCTATAAAGAAGAAATAAGACACAGTGTATGAGGGGATCGGGTTGATAGTGATCAGGGAGGATCTTAATAGAAGAGGTGACATCTGAAGGAAAGAGAGGAAGTTGGAGGCAGGTTCTAATCCAGGTATTTAGTCTAACTGAATCTTAGAGATGGGGAAATTAAAGTCTAGAGAGGCAAGGACTTGCTAATTGCAAAGTATCTTCTGTACCATGAAGCCACAGGGTTTCATATTTCATAGCCCTATGTGATTGCTGTCCTGTCCCTATACCCCTGTTCCACCTCCCTTTTTTTGGGGGGGGGGAAGAAGCAGCATAATATAGTGGGAAAAGCACTGAGTTTGGGATAAGAATATCTTTGTTCAGAGTCCTGGCTCCAGCATTCTTTGACTCTTATTAGCTGTGTGAGCATTGTCTAAGCCTTTTTGAGCCTCAGTTTTATCTGCCAAGTGGGGATAATCATACTATTTGGTTCATGGGGCTGTCACAAAGAGGTAGATCATTTTGTAAATTGTAAACTGCTGTAGAAACGTGAATTATTATAACCCATGATCATACATTAAGTGGCAGATCTAAGACAATAATTTAGATCTCCTCATCTAAAGGTAGTTTTTGCAGTAGTATAGTCCTTTTTTTTCCCCCTCGTGTCCATTTATGAATGCTTGCAAAGTTTTATTCTTCAGCAAGCCAGTGATAACTCATAGCAGACCAGGTAGGAGATGTCAAAAACTTTTTTCTTTGGGGAGGGGAATTGAGGTAGAGATTCAAAGCTTAGCCATCAATTCCTTTGTGTACTGTGTTTTCTAAAGATCACCAACCAAAAGGAAAAACAAGTCCTGTGGGAGAAGAAGCAGATCTCCTCGGAGTAAGAGAAGCCGTAGTCCTCACCATCCAGTAGTCAAGGTGAAGCAGGTAATTGCAATTGACATGACTCTTTCCCAAGTTCTGAATCTAAGAATTTCTTCATACTAGTGTCAGAATGTGGGCTTTCCTCTTAAATTGGGAAGTGAGTCCCAAGGTTACAACATTACTTTTATGGAGAGAGAGGGGCAGGATATAGACTAGTTTTCATTAAAAGAACTAGTTACTTGAAGAACTTGGAACATAAATGCACATACTATCATTTTTAAGGTTCAGAACAAGAGTAGGGAAGCCCTGGCCCATGGCAAGTGTTCCGTGATGAGCTATTGGTTCTACCACTTGGAGAATAAATTATCTTTGGGCATCTGATTGTAGCTTTCCCAGAGTGGAACCCCTGTCTACATGCTGTAGCTCTCTATCATCTAATTCTTAAATGTACAACTCTTTAATATCTCATTTCTTTAACAGCATGTTACTGTTAGTCTCAGGCTTTCAGAATGTAACTTTAAAAAAATATCAAGTATCTTGAAATTTCTCATCTTCCTTCCTCAAATTCCTAAAAAGCTGGTAACTGAATGAATCTCAAATATATATGTGAGACAGAACAATGTGGCCCAAATTTAATATTCATACTGACTAATTTTAACACATACATTGATCACTTTTGGTTTATCCCAAATAGAAATACAGGCAGCCTCTGTTTTATAGGTACCTATAAGGGAAGCGAATTGTGAAAAAATATGGCGTAAGACTTTTTTTTCCTATGGGGATAAGTGTTCTGGGTTTCAAATAGTGAACCTGCAAATGAGCTTTGGAAAGTAACCTCATTAATTGGGAACTGTCTACATTTGAATGGTTCCTTGAATTTCAGGAACGTGAAAGTGAAAGCCGTCCCCGGAGAGAAAGAGATGAAAGGCAACACAGGGAGCAATCAGAACAAGAACACAGGCGGGAGAGAAATGGTGACCGGGACAGACACCATAGTCATTCTAATCAGAGGAAGACTGCCAGTGAGAGGCCTGGTGGTGGGCGAAATCGAGATGCCCAGAACCTACAGGAACAAGAAGCAGAAAGAGAGTTTTATAACTCTCGGCGACGGGAGCGTCGCCAGAAGAAAGATGTGGGTGGCAGCAGTGATGAGAATCAGGAGATTGTTCTGCAGTCTGCTGGTGGCCACAGTAAAGGAAAAGACCCACCAAATAAAGAGAAACCCAGCTTTGAGCTGTCAGGGGCACTCCTTGAGGATACCAACATGTTCCGGGGTGTGGTGATAAAGTATAGTGAACCTCCAGAAGCACGGATCCCAAAGAAACGCTGGCGCCTTTACCCCTTTAAGAATGATGAGGTGCTCCCTGTCATGTATATCCACAGACAAAGCGCTTATCTTCTGGGCCGACACCGGCGAATTGCAGATATTCCTATTGACCACCCCTCCTGTTCAAAGCAGCATGCAGTATTTCAGTATCGGTAAGTCTTAGTAAAACTTCAACTGGTTACCTTTAAGGTAATCAGTAAGTCAGGGCCTCTATGTAGCGATTTCTGCAGTCGCTCTTAAAACAAAGCTGGCCCATGTTTCCTTACCACTTGGCAGTTTACAAAGTAATTTTTTTCACAGCCATCTGAGGGAGGGTAGAGCAAGTATTGTTATTTATCCCCATTTTCAGATTAGGAAACTGACAAGGCTCTGAGAAACTAAATGACTTCCCTACAGTCCCACAGTTAGTAAGTGCCAGAATTAGGACTTTTTAAATCCAGGTCTTTGAACTTCCAAGTCCAGTGCTCTTATTCTTTCCACTACATTACACTACCTTCTCAAGCTTTTGACTTAATTTAAATGTATATGAATAACCTGAGTACCTCCATTTGTAGGACTGAAACCCTGTTTTGGGGTGATCAGACCCCATGTGTCTCATATTGCCTTTGTGGATTTCACTGAGCTAAATGGAGCCTGGTTTTCTGTGGGTCTCAGTAGGTGAAAGAAAAATCACATAGATATTTCTTTAATTTTCTTCACACACTAGCCATGTCATGAGACCTTTTCTTCTGAGCAGCACTAATGAATGGGTTTGCTTTGATTTTTCAATTTATACTTTCCCATCCCTTGTCTTTATGATCTGTAAGAGTTCTTCAATAGGCATTATGCACTCTTCCTGCAACTTAGGTATATGAGCAACTTCCTCTTCCCGTATATCTACTCTAATTTCTTTATTTGGGGGAACTTTAACTTGAGCTGGTAATAACATTGTTCATGTCATGTGTCTACTTAGGAAAAGACAGCCGTACGTTAGTGAGCCTGGTCTATATGTCCACTGATTTTGCATGAACTAATTTAAAGTTCTGATTTCTTTTGCTAGGCTTGTAGAATACACCCGTGCTGATGGAACAATTGGCCGAAGGGTAAGGCCGTATATCATCGACCTTGGCTCAGGCAATGGGACCTTCTTGAACAACCAGCGCATTGAGCCACAGCGTTACTATGAACTAAAGGAGAAGGATGTGCTCAAATTTGGGTTCAGTAGCAGAGAATATGTACTGCTTCATGAGTCTTCAGACACCTCTGAGGTGGATAGAAAAGAAGATGAGGATGAGGAGGAGGAGGAAATATCTGACAGCTAGCAAATTCAGAAGAAGTTCCTGTAGCTGCTAAGAGAATTTTTCCTTTGTGGAAGGCCTGGACTTGGGATTTAAAGAGCAGAGCAGCACTCCCTGGTGCCTCTTATTGCCTTAAGTCTTTTCTCTGTTGCTGATCAGCTTATGTTAAAATTTAAGAAATTTGATAATTTGTGTTTTTGGTTGAACTTATTTCTGTGATATGTTAGCCACACAAGTGTGGACATTTGCTTTCAGATAATTTCACCAATAACAGTAGTCCATTGTGTGTAGTAGAAGCATGATGGCGTGGCATGAGTTGGTGCTCTGGAAACTATTGCCTGGTAACTGTAGACCCTTGGTTAAAAAGAGAAACATGGCATGTTCTCTTTGTGCAGCTATTTGCTTTGTACAGTGACTTTTTAAGAAATACGGACCAGCAGTTTTTCATGTTTTATTTTTTGTAAATACCTAGACAGAGAATTTGGCCCAAGTTTTGGTTGTCAGCAGAACAGACACCCCTCCCTCTCCCCTGCCCTGCCCCCATTGTATGCTCTGAAGCTTCTATCCAGTTAACACTGAATCATAGAAATCTATTTCATTATTTAGGTCTTTGGGGATGAGAATTCCACCACACATATGACTTTAGTGACTGCTTATATGCAGACAAGTATTGGGTCCTGATGAAATACGTGACAGAGCAGTAAAATCATGGCTGTTTTGAGGCAGAGATTAAAATGGTCCATGGATCCTCTTACATAAGAGGATACTGTATTTCCCAAAGTATCTTGGGTCTGTCATCAATTTGGGTTTTCTTGTCTGTTTAACTGCTTTGCATTTATTATAATATCACTTTTTTCTTCTAATTCATAGCATCACTTGTGTGGAAGGATTACCTCAGGTGTTGGGAGCAGTCTGTTCATTTTAACTAGATTTGTGTGTGGTGGAAAGAAATTTTTGTTTTGCTTATTTTTTAATATCCTGAAAGGCCATGTCTGTCATCTTCTCCGCGCCCCCCCCCCACCATAAGCAGGGAGGAGCTGAGGCAAGGGAAATACCTATTTACTAATCTTCCCCAAGTCAAATACATGTGCATCGAATTTTGTCTGTGTACCTATGTTGTATATATAAATTGGATGCTAGTCTGTGTGGGTGGGTGGGTGTGTGTGGGTGGTGGCTGGAGGTGTGTACTACATGCATCTGAGTGGGGTTTTTTGTAATGTAAATGGAATACTACATTATAAGTAAAGGCGTAGCTCACCCTGTTATTTGAATAGCAGGATCTCATTTATATATGGTTTGGGATCACACAATAAAAGAATTTGTAAATGTAGCCCTACTCAGTCCCAAAGTGTAATACTTTTCTAGTATAAAAGTTTTTGATATTTTTTGTTTTTTAAAAAGGTTTAAGTTTTTAAATTTTTTTTTTGAAGTGGAAATAAATGATAATTGAGAGGGGAAAGAGGTGGGAACACCACTGACAACCTGAACTAAATTCCAGATCACTAATCCATATAAATGAGTATTGAAGCATCAGTGCTTTCTAAATTGGGAGCGAAATGTTTATCCTTACCAGTGAGTGTAAAGAAGCTTTTGTGTATGCTATGTATAGTTGGCTCTGTATAAACCAAGGCCTGATTATTCAGTTGATGGATTATCTGTGCCCTTCCTCTCTTCATCTCCCATAGGGCCTTGCTGTTTCAGTGTACACAAACACCACTAGCAAAATGCTGGTTAGGGAAAGGAAAAGAGAAATGGAAAGTCAATCAGTTTTGCTATTAATTAGTTCTTAGGTTGAAATGTATGAGACTTTGAGATCATCTCTGCATGTGGTTATTTATCCCCTGCTTTTCTCTCAATGTATCTTGTTATGGATGATGTTCAGACAGCTGACCACTGGTATGTGGTGACATGGAGTGGGGTTTAGTGTTTGTTGTTCAGCTTGGGGGACAAAAAGCCTTGGAAAACACCTGAGATTTTGTGGAAATAAGCTTAAAATTCAAAGAGGCAAAAACTTAGCCGTTTGCAGTTTGTTCCCCTAGGTCTTTGTCTCCAGTGACTTTCCCGGCTACTACATGCTTCATGTCCAGTACCCAATGTATGTATGTATGTATGTATAGAACCTGATTTTGTGTTTTTAAGTTTTCTTTGAAACTGACTGAGTTTTCCTTTGGCCCGCTCTTGTTCTTTGTCTCTCTCACTCTGGTGCCTCTCTGATCAGCTGTGTTGCTACACTGATCGCCGGTGGGTTTTGAGATCACTTGACGCTGCAAGGCAGCTCTTAAGTTTTACTTCTAGCCTCCACCCTGGTGGACATACCAGTAGAGCATGGAGTAAATACCAACTTTCCTACATGCTTATAGCACAGACAGATGTTTTTGTACTAGGTTTTCTTCTTGACAAATGAGTAATGGTTATTGGATTCGATGATTCTGATGGAAGATTTCTTTATAAAGGATGGAAACAGTGGGCCTGGGAGCAAGGCCGGCTGAGATGCGATTCTCCTCTAGCTCCAAAGCCAGGTATCACCAGCAAATTTCTAAACTGGAGTAGTGACAAATGTTGTACAATAGTTCTTATACATTGTCTGAGAAACATGTTTAGTTGGACGATTTGGTTTCCTCTTCTGCCATCTCTTGTCAAACTTACCTAGTTTGTTTTCAGTACCTTTTCTACTCCAAGGAAGAATGACTGTCTAAACCAAAGCAAAGTGAAAATCAAAATGCTTTTGAACTCTGGTCATTTGCATCTCCTTACTGAATTCTGCAGTCAATCTGAAGTTCCCCTGAGTTCTGTGTGAGTCTCATTTCCTCAAAACTTCCCATTAAGTGTTTTCTCCAGTCGTACCATACCCACCCTCTCATCCTTTTATAAACAAGCAGCATCTCAGTAATTGCAATTTGTGAAGCAACCTTTGTCCTGACTTAGTAATAAATAAAAGCAGAATTAATAGCTTGTGTCTGTAAAGAATAATTTGATTTGGGTTGGATTTTTTAATGGAATTTTTATTATTGTATTTACTCTATGTCAGTATGCAATGCAGCAAGGTTTTAGAAATCTCATCACTTTTTAAAAAATAGATTTTCAGGATGATTATTATTTGATAAATAGTACAAATGTTTACATTTTTATAAGTCCTTTCCTCCCTTTTAAAAAATCAGTTATTTGGCCAAGAAATGAAACAGTGTTAAGTTGAAGTAGAGTTTCCACATGGTATGTTCAGGTATATGCCAGCAGTCTCTGAAGTTTAAGATAAAGTATTCAGAATATACTATGTTCACAAATGTATATAAGTTTGTATGAAGTGAAATAGCTACTCACTTTTAAATTAAAGTTTTGGAATTAAAAACTTTTTTTTGGCTTTGATCTCTTGGTAACTCGGGGGGTATACTTTAACATAGGAACTAAATTAAGAGATTTAGCTGGTTCTGTCATTGCATTTTTGAGATCTCCGTAATTCAGTAAATCTTCAAAAGGCAATCCCTTGACAAACCTTGCTGATAGTCTACAGTATTTGGATTTAAATTCCAAGTAATAGTTACTAGAGGATCCCCATTACCACTTCCAAAATACCCACTACGTGAATGGTCTTGCATTGGGAGTCACGTTCCCTGAATGGAGATGCAATTGGCTCAGTCACACCATACATTATACAAGAAATAAATTAATCACACGTTGTCTTGAGTGCTGGGGAAAGGTATAAATTTGGGATGACAGGGTCCTGATTCATAGCCTTGTGTGCAGCATCATTAATTTGCTAGATAATAATGCTTACCCATAATTTAGTATAGGAAGAAGTAAAAGGTTCTCCATTTGTCAAAATTCCAGGGGCATTTTTAAAGAGATTAGTTTTTGATTATCCAGTTGGAAGTTAACTAAGGATGCCAGGCAGTTTAGATGTCTGTTTTTTGAAAGCATGGACAGTGTAGTATGGTAGAAAGAGAGTGAACTTAGGAGGACTCAGTTTCCTCATCTATAAAACTTAGAAGCCAAACTCCAGCTTCTAAGATCTTTTAAGGCTCTGATCTGACCTTGTTACTCTGGATAGTTGTGATAGTTTTTCATTTATTTATTTCTTTATTTAATTTTTTTGGTGAGGCAATTGGGGTTAAGTGACTTGCCCACAGTCACACAGCTAGGAAATATTAAATGTCTGAGGCCAGTTTTGAACTCAGGTCCTCTTGACTCCAGGGCCAGAGCTCTATCTACTGCGCCACCTAGCTGCCCCCACTAGTATTTCTAAAGTATAGTTGTTTAATCACATCCCTCTGTTTAAAAAAAAATCTTTAGAGCAGAGGTTATTAACCTTTTTGGTATCATGAATCTCTTTAATGGTTTGATGAGGTCTATAGACCCTCTTAGAATATTTTAAAATAAAGTAATAAAGTACATGAGATTACAAAGGAAACCAATTCTACTGAGGTAGGTATCAAACAAAATTATTTTTGAAAGTTTGCAGATCCCAGGTTAAGAGGCTCTGCTTTAGTTGAAGCTTCTCATGACCTATTGACTAAAATCCAGACTACCTTGTGTTCAAAACCCTTCATAACCTGGTCCGAACTAATCTAGGCCCACAACCTTAGATGTAAGCTGATCTGGTACTATTCCTCCTTGTATGCTGCAAGCTGCAGTCAAATTGGACTATTTCCTTCAAACACATTACATCTTTCCCCACCTCTGTATTTTTAATTAAACCTACCCCAGTGCCCAGGATGTCATCTTCCCTAGTCTCTCTGCCTGTGGCTATCCTTCAAGGCTCAGCTCAGATGCATCTCCATTGGGAAGCCTTTTCTGATAAACATAGCCAGAAGAGGGCTATCTGATCTGAAATATACGTATATACATATATATATATATATATATATATATATATATATATATATGAACACACATATACACATACATACATATATATACGCACATATACACACACATATATATACATACATATTTATTGGTCCAAACCTGATTTTATTAGAGAACTCCTGATGAGGTGATTTCCTCTAACGATTCAATCCAGCTACCAATGCAGCTTCCACTTTGTGAGAGCTTAAGCAATTTATCCAGGATCATGCAGCTAGTATATCTCAAAGGTGGAACTTGAACCTCTGTCTTTGTTATGTTGAAGCTGACTCTGGCCACAAACCCGGAATTCTTATTTAATACACATATATTCTAATTTGTGAGGGCCAGGGCTATATAATTTGCCTCTTTCCCAGCCCACGTGTAAATGTGCCTTGCCTATGACTAATAAATATCTGGGTAAATTCGAGCATTTTTCCTAGTAAGAATGAATAGAGGATCTATTACCTGTTACCCTTGGCAGAGTACTAATTACCTACCTTTTTCCAATTCCTTAAGATTAACTCACAAAACTTGTGAAATAGGTAGTTGTCATCATCATCATCATCATCATTTTACAAATGAAGAAATAGGTTCCATGGAGGGAAGTTACTTGCCCAGAGCGTCAGAACCAGAACTGAAACCATGATCTTCTAACTCTAGGCTTTTTATCTGTGGCCACATTTTTATACAATTGCATGAAACTTTTGTCATGGGCACAAACTCTTCAACAAGTTATTTATTAAGTGCCTACTCTGAACCAGGCACTGTGCTATGTCCCGAAGACAAAAAGGCAAAAATAGTTCTGCTGTCAAGGAGCTCACAGTCTAATGGGAAGCACCACATACGAACAACTATGTACAGACAGGCTGTGTACAGGATAAATGAGAAAAAGCAGAACGAAGGCACTAGCGTGAAAGGGGAATGAGAAAGGCTTCTGAAAGGTGGGATGTTAGCCGAGACTTGAAGGCAGCCAGGGAGGTCAGTAGTCAGAGCAGAAGAGGGAGAGCATTCCAGGCACGTTAGTGAAAACGCATCAAATTGGGAAATGGAGTAGCTGGATTGGTGTCTGGAAGGGGAGTAACATATAAGAAGACTGGAAAGATATTTTTGAAGTTTTCCCAACAGTAATATAAAATACAAAGTATAAGTACTGACAGTAGCTACAAAGCTGGGAAGCCTTTCAGTATAGACCCAGCGACACGTTTTTCTACTGAGAACTGGCCTAGCTAAGTTTGGAGAGGCATACTGACAGATTAGCTTGGGGGATGATGAACCTTAATAGGCCTTTGGGAGACCTATTAAGTCGTAGAGTTTGTGATCTGTGATGATGGACACTGATGTAATTGCATCTCATTGAAGTATTTAATTTAACAAACATTAATTATGCACTTAAACACTGAGGACATAGACAAAAAACGACAAACGTTTCTGCCCTCAAGGAGTTTATATTCTGGTGGGTATTAGTCATTATTAAGTGACCATTTTCATCAAGACCAACACCACTATGTGCATCCTTGATCCCTCCCATATTCTTCAGCAGATTGATTCTACAATTATTACCTCCCCACCTCCCTCCCTGTTTAATCTCTCCCAATTTGTTTCTTTCCTGTTGCTTACAAATATACCCAATCCAAATACACCTGGACTACCATCTCCACTTGAACCTTGACGGCCAAGACCTTGAGCCTTCAGAATAAAAGCATTCCCCAAACCACCAAACCTGTTTCCAGTCTAGCCTCTGAGCAGCCACCATTGAGGGGAGAAGTCATTGTGGAGAAGGAGCTCACCTTCCTTGTCACCAACTGTGACCATGAATAGGCAAATAGGCTCAAAAGCCTTAGGAGTGGTAGCCCCCTCCATACTACCAGTTCTGCTTCCATTCTAACCATCAGCCAAAATGGGGGAGGCAGCTTCTATGGAGAAGTGAGCAATAGCCATCAACTGCTAACCAAGTGCTAACCACAAGGCAAGCAGATCAGCCTAGCTGAGGGAGAGACAGGAGGCAGGATGTGCCAGGTAGTGTCCCTTCAAGACCCTGATGGAGATGGCTCAGGACCCTGAGCCCAAGAGCCTCTGTAATAGCAGTGCTTCAACCCCAGTGTCTGCAGCCATCTTCTAGTGAAACAACCCCGGGGAGATGCAGCCATCTTTTGAAGACCCCAAAAAAGAAAGTTGTCACCAAAGTCCTTGGCAATGTCAAATGGCTGCCATCAGAAACAGATATAATTTTATCAATGAAAATGACATCCAAGAAGCATTACCATCTGCTTTGCTGCTGTATCCTAAGGGCCATGGGACCTTTTCATTTAACTTAAGAGCTGAAACTTTCCATGTATGTTGTCACCCCCATTACAATGTGAGCTCCTCACAAGCAGGGACTGTCTTTTCTATTTGTATCTCTAGGGCTTAGTGTAGTGCTTTGTACATAGTAAACAGTTAATAAACGCTTTATTGATTTACTCAAGTCTCCCCCATCAGTTTTCAAATCCCTCTTACATATATAATATTCATGCATAAGAAAAGCAATATGGCATAGTAGCTAGAGCCTTGGAGCTATGAAGACCTGCATTTACAACTTGCCTTGGATACATAATCTAGGTAATCTTGGGCAAGTGGCTTAACTTCTCATTCTGCTAAGCAACTCTTTCAAACTTTAAGCTGCAGAGAAGGTGCCTGCCTGCATTGATACAAGGAATTTCCTCATCTGGGAATTCTCTATAACAGTGAAATCTCAGATGTGTATATTTATGTGTGTATGCACTATATACATATTGTTTACATTATATAATTTAACATAATATAGTTGAATAATAGAATATAAGGAATATAATGTATTATGAATATAATATAATGAGTAATAATTCATTATATAAATAATATAGTGAATAATATAATAGCTGAATAATATAGTATAAGTTGAATATACATTTATTTCCTCTAATAGGATGTAAGCTCCTTGAGGGTAGGGGCTGTTCCACAATAGCTGTACTCATTTTTGTCTTTGAATCCCCCAACACAGAGTAGGAGAGTGCCAGGTACAGAGAAGACATTTAATAAATGCCTGTTCAGTGACTGATATCTATTGGGAAAAAAACACTGGATTCAAAGTCAATACATCAGATTTCAGGCACTGTCCCTGTGTGATGTTGGACATTTAATATCCTTGAGGGCAGAAGAAATGAGAAAGGCCAAAGACTTTTTAGACTGTACAAAAGATCGTACAAAAATTGTACAAAGTTGAAGTCTCACACTTCTATATCACGAATACATTTGTCAAAAAAGAATTGGTAGGTACTAAACGTGATGAGCATCATACAACATTGCAAAGAATGAAACTGACTACATGTTAATGGAAACACAAAGACTTATTTTGGATGTGGGAGTTATCTCTGAATTATCAGTCTGCAAGTCAGACAATTCCTTGTTTTGTTAGGACTAAGATCAGACTTTATAATTAATAAAAAGAAAAATATTAATGAGAAAACATATGATACATAATTAAGATTT